TTGTTCCTTGTGTGTCGAGGTCAATTGTCGGGGCACACATCGTGCTGACACTTTTCTGTATCAAAGAATGTTGTGGATGATGTTTTGAGCTTGCTCATGTGAGATTCCAAGTTCTTCCACTACTTCATCGATGGTGATACGCCGTTTCGCTCTAATCATATCATCCACCTTCCTGACATTTGCATCTGTAGTGGCCGTGCGCGTCCGTCCAGCTCTCGGTATGTCCTCCACTTGCTGACGTCCATCACTGAATGTGCGACACCATCTCCGCACCATTTGCTTCGACATCACACCTGGCCCATAGACTTCCACGAGGCGGTTATGAATTTCTGTTCCTGATACTCCACGTGCCCATTCATAGCGGATAACCGCTCTCACTTCATCCTTTGACCACGAATTCAAAACGCACCTTCTCTCCATACCTACCGGGGCTCAAATGAGAGGCTGGTCTCCTCTTTGGCAGGCACTGCAACAGTGCCATCTGCTTGATTTGCAGCGACCTCTACCTAATGGTGTATCGGTGACTTGCGCGTTTTCCTGCTGTGTCGCCTTTGCACATAGCCGTTCAACGCTTCTTCCATATGCAAAGCGTGAATTTTTCTTGGAGGACTTTTTGAAGCTTATCAAGCAATATGACAAATGTCTCAACGTACTCGTACAAGAATAATAAAATAAAGGTATGTCACCACAGTCGACAGGGGAAACTTATTTTTCAACTTACCTACGTAACAACTTTAAATTTTTATGTTTTTTTATAGATCTGTTTTTATTTATTAAAAAAATTTAATATTTTATTGACTTTTCGACAAGTTAGTGTATGCAAGCAAAACTGCATCAAACATGAACAATTCACTTGTACTCGCATTATATGATTAATTTGCTAGCCTTTTAAAAAGCCCACAATACTCAAAAATATAATTTTAATATTAAACAGAATAATTGTTTTGATTTAAAACAACCATAACATGCCTTACTTTACAACATGAAAAGGGGGGAAATTAATGCTGCTCTCAAGCAATGAAACACATGAAAATGCTATTAATTATAAATAAGCATTCCTTTTTATAAAAGCTGATCAAAACATCAAAATTAATACACTTTAACGAAAAATAAAACCAAAAAAAGGGGGAGGGGGCAAAAATAAAACACTAGCCAGGAATTAAGAAAATCATGCTAATTAATTTAATATGCATTAATTATGCATTAAGAAATAATGCATAATTAATTACTATTATGCAATTAAATTCTAAAGAGCATTTAAAGTATTTTCATAAAATAAAATAATAGCATATCAAATATATAAAAGTTTCTTTACAAATACTTCTATGTCAGTAGAAAGACTGTTCTGATAAAATACATCACATAAAAAATACTTTTCGCTAATAGCATAAGCAGTATAATGCATACGATATTATTAAGGAAAGAAGGCAAATAGCTCTTTATTTTCAAGCTAAATCTTCACTGGGAAGTTAATTTAACAAAATTCAAGTTCAATAAACAACATAATAACAGATATTAAGGATATAAAGGCAATAAAGTTAAAATTGTTCAGCTACAAAATTTATGACATGAGCCACTGGGAATAAATGTTAAATAACAAATATTCAAGATACATGGGGAAGATGATCCTTAGTTTTTGTAGCTATAAAATTTATGACAATCTAGAAAGTAGATATTTTCTTTTGCTTTCCATATGATTAAACAATGATCCTCCTTTAAATTCAACAATAGCAGTTTGTTAGCCAATACTGGTAGCATCTACATGTCTTTATTATGCTTATTATAAGTCAAGCATTTAAATTTTATTTACAAAACTTTAACAATGGGGTTAAAATATTATGTAATTATAAATATTATCTGTATCTATTATAAATCCAATTAATACCATGTATACTACATATTTCATAAAAAGATAGAGTGGGAAATTGGGAAAAAAATCTAATTACTAATAATTCTAATTATTTTAATTACATAGATTACAAAACTCAAATGTATTCATGGTATTATAACGCAAGACATAATGAGCTGGGATAACTCTTCAACCCATCTTTTTTACCCCACGTGCAATAAACCGAATTACATTTCATCTTTCATTACTTGCAACATTTTGCCGATACATAAATCATCTCATGGTATTTTTACACTTTTTGGGGTTTCTCACCATTTCACCCAAGTTCTTCCAGAAAAAGATGTTATTTGAACACACTCTTACGCAAAAAACGCAAAAAATACGCAAAAAACAAGTGTTCACTGCTAACTCAATTATATATTTTGACCTGGCAAGAAAATACAGCACCTTACAGCTTAAAAACCTACTTAAAAAGGCAGTGGCCAGTTCAGCAAAATCCACTCATTTTTAAACTTCAGTGTAATATGCATCTTAAGCTGCATGCTTGGAACAATGATTAGATTCATATTTTTACTGGCATAGAAAAACATTGTCGTATTTTTCAAAAGCCAAATGATGAAAATGATGCTCAGTTCGATGATGACTGACACAGAATATCTTATTTTTTGTACTCTTCTGTGATCATGACTAGAGTCATTGGCAAACATTTTATTAAACTCGCCAAGAGATTGGCTCATATGAAGTTGTCAATGCTTACTTTTAAAATCATTACAAATATTTACTTAAAAAAATAATGCCTTTTCAAAATTGGCAATGAGAATACAAATTCTAAAGATGCAACGGTCGCTTGTGTTTTTATTATCGTCTTTACCATGGATATGAAAATTTGGAACTGACCTAATAATGAAACATCTTCCATACAATTTCTCCAGGAACAAGGAATTATTCACTCTGAAAGAAATGAAAAACCATAAAATGAAGCTCTTCTTTAATTTGATAGAAACACCAAAAATGATGTGCGGGGGGGGGGGGGGGGGGGGGGGGGAATCTTGTTCTGAAAATTGGTTTTGGGTTTCTTAACAGAATTAGTTTCTTAACAGCAATTTGTTTCATTTATGCATAGCATTTAGAATTAACTTCCACTGAATTTTGTCAGCATCAACTTGATATGAATCACTGCGCTGTTGTTGACTGTGACAGTTACATAAGAAAAGTCTGCAGCCATGCATTAATGTCTAGACTGTCAGTTAAAATAGGCGGCACTCATAATATTGTTGAAGTTGACGAAAGTCTGTTTTCGCATCAAAAAAGCAGTGCTGGTCGCATTGTTCCACCTCAGTGGGTGGTGGTGGGATTTGACGTGAAACAAAAGAATGTTTTTTAATTGCTGTGCCTAACTGCTCTGATAGAATTTTGCTTGAAGTTACCGGGGAAAATATTACTGATGACACTATAATATACTCAGATTGTTGGAAAGAGTACAACATCGAAGAATAAAAGGAGGCCGGATTTGAATCTTTTTGCATTAATCACAAATATAATTTTATCGATCCCGATAATGGTTGTCATACACAAACCACTGAAAGCTTATGAGGTTGTATAAAATTGTGACATAAACTTCAATGTGGCACTGACGATTTTTGATTCTTATTTAATCTAGTTTATGTAACAGCATTAGCTCCCTTATTTAAATGATATCTGCAGTTTTATGTGTTAATTCACTGATTTTTTCCCCTTCTAATTTCTTTAGCAATTTGTTTAATTTACATTACAAATTTCTAATTCCTAATTTTATAAATATCTGTTATGTTACTTTTCCTCTGGATTTTTCTTCAAATTAACTGTATCGTAAATATTTTGGCAATTATTTTTATGCTTCAAAATTTTTGCCAGATCATTAGCTTTCGGCAATATCTGAATCCGGTCCCAATAACAGACCAATTCAATGTAATGTGCATCTTAAGCTGCATGCTTGGAAGAATGATTACATTTATATTTTTATATGATATCAAAAAACTTCTGTCATATCCATTGAAATCCAAATGAAAATGATGGTCAGTTACACGATGGATGACAAGGAATATCAGATTTATTTTTCAAAATTTGTTCACATTTTCCTCTATGACCAATTGCAAGCATGTAACAGTTAAAAAAATAAAATTACTTATGAACCTTTCATGAAGTGTCTTTAGTAGTCTTCACAGTTAAAAAAATAAAATTAATTATGAACCTTTCATGAAGTGTCTTTAGTAGTCTTCACAAGTGTTGAGTAGCCCATACAAAGTATGCTTACAAAATAAGCATACTTTGTTCTGGCATCAGACACAAATCACAATTATTTAAAACAGACGCAACAGGCAAAGGAGCAAAAAGTATGCATATTTTTTTATATTATCACAGAAAAGAGGAAGTCATCCTTGTTCACGAATATGAGGGAGTCTGGAGGGAAGTTTCGAGTGATGAGAACACAAGGAACTATGCGAAATGCATGATCAAAGACCTTCTGAAGAAATGGAAATCAGATCAATTCTATAATTCTTGAAATAAAAATTCATTTAAATAGAAGTGAAAAGAGATCCACATTTGACAAGAGTGGTAAGGTGTGATGAAGAAAGTGACTGATATGTTTAAAAACAATGCCAAGCACTATTTCAGAAAATCCTGAAGAGGAATACAATTTTTAAACAACTTCTCGAAAACTGGATCTGCATTGACATCAAACGTAGATGTGCATAAACATAAATGACAGCTGAGCTTTCAGCTTTCAATGGAAGACTAGAAAGACTCAGGATAAACTAAAATAGAAGACTGAGAAACTGTGCACATATGCAAATGTAAATATTTTTATAACTAATAAATAAATTAGTGAACTCCAAATATTTTTAATATTCTCTGAACTTTTTTATGATATTAAATGATTTTGGACTTGGCTTGGGAATGGATTAAAATTATTCCCATTGTAAGCAAGCAAAGAACATCCCATATAATGAATAATTATCATTACGAAAGGTCCCACTATACAACATTTTTTTTAGGACCTCTGTTCAGTCCCAAACTTGAACAATTAGAAAATGACTGCATAATTATCAAAACACAATACATAGGAATATATAATTGCACAAACACAATATGCAAATTCACATATACACACCATAACTGTCAGTATAGGGAGTAGGACCAAAGGTTTGATATGCAGATGGGTTCATGATGGGAGGACTGGCTACAGTTTGGCTTTGAGTGCTAGGAGTAGGAACACCTGTGTCTGAAGGGGCATACAATGCAGTCTGATATCCTACCAAAGAAAACACAGATAAATGTATAATCAAATCAAAACATTTACATGCCATTTCTAGAGAAAGAAATGTGAAACAATATTCCCATCTTAAAAAATAAATTACTTTTCATCTTTTAATAACAATACAAAAAGTTAAAAAAATACTCCTCAATTACAAAACTAATATAACAAATTGCATTTTAACTGGATCACTGAAATTAAAATTTTAAAAAAAATTGATACAACGAATGAAAATCATAGCAGAATGCATCTCAAGTTTTTAAATGCACTTTTTTTTCCAGTTGCTAACAAAAACATGTGCATCTTCATTTTCCACATTTCACTTCACTTTCAGGCTCATCACTTGAACAGTGATATAAATTTGCATTTTTGCAGCATGCAATGTTATTTTAAAAATCTGGAACTTATTTATTTACTTTTTAAATGAGAAGAAATATTTAGCTGTACAATGCTTATAGCAGTTTCAACTTTTTACACAAATTAGTAGCTATGTACAATCAATCCCTGTTATCGGACAATCCAACAGATTACTCTGCTTGTTAGGTCAGACTTTCGTGGATCTGAACAATTCCTATTTCCCCAAACATATTGGTTATTAATTTACTTTTAAGATGCTATCACTAAAGCTATCATGTCACATCCAAATTTTTAGTGAAATTAAAATTATTCATTCTTCAAATGAAAAACAGGTTTTTTGGGGGAGGGGGGTCCAAATTCTTTTTCTACACCGCAATCATATTAATCTTCTTCCCTGCGAAATCATCAAATCAGTTAGCATTTGCCAATCCAGAAGACAAAACAAATGTTAGCTAGCCATTATTATTATTCCTTGTTATTTTCATTTCCTTATTATATATACTTTCCACATTCTATTGCAGCTTCTGCTATAATCCCCTCAAGTAAGGAAAGAAACTAAAAATTCTACTGAACTCTTAAACAATTTCCTGATTGAGGCAGGTTAGCCCTTGTGTTGACCACAAAAAGGAATTCAGTTACAGTGAAAATTCCAGATGTGAGTGCAAGGAAATTTCTCAGGAAGTGTATGTTTTGATGGAAAAAAATTTTGTTTGAAGGAAAAGGTCTTTTGAAGACTCTGAATATTATTAAAAAAGACATACCGTCTATAAAAATAAAAAAAAATAATAAAAAAAAAAATAAATAAATTTGTACATAGGATTATCATTAGTTATTCCAGAAAATCTTTACAATTCCAGATAACAAGTCACTCTGCATCATACATTTTTCCCTCTCTAGCCTTAAGAATCTTAACAACATTCAACTATATTTGAAGGTTGATACAAAACATCCTAGACACTTCTTTTAAAAATCATTAAAGCAACAATATGCTTACAAACCTGCATCATAATATGGAGCATGTGGTGGTGGCACAGCTTGTTGAGGTGTTTGGTATGTTGTCGTTTCCGGCATACTGCGCTGCCTCAGAGATGAGTAGCGCTTTGGACGACCAGCAGAATCACCAGCACCCTTCAACCCTATGCTCGATACTTCAGTGCCATTTAGGTTATTAACCAAGACTCCTAAAATTTGAAATTACAGTTACCAAAGGATATATTGCTTGATTAGAAATATATAACAAATAAATATTTAATAAAAATTTTTTGGACAATCAAAGATGCAACAACTTCAACATAAATTAATCATACACCTATATATCTTTATATATAAAAATATTAAGAAATAAATAATGTAAGGAAGGACTATTAAGAATAATCGCTCCTAGGCTGCAATGATTAATTAAAAATAATTATAATTAAAGGGAAATACTCCTATTAAATTTCTTAAATTTCAAATTAAATTAAGAGAGTTAAGAACATAAAAGAATTAAAATATAATGGCTAAACAAATTCCAATGTACAAATTTGTAATTTTTTATGGAAAAATTGCTTTCCTAGCAATCGTCAATAGTTAGTGGATATGCATAAAATTGTGATTAAAATTTGTTAAAGAGAATTAAAGCCATATAAAGAAAATTACTTTAAAATGAACAATTGAAAAGCTAGTGAAATAATACCGACTCTTTAAGGAGAATTAGTTATTTCACACTCCAACTATTCAGACATTGTGTTTCGTCCTTTTTATGCAAATCGAAAGTAGAAATGAAATGAAATGTAAATATTTAATTTCCCAAATTGAGCATTCTTATATGCATATCAAGAATTTCCCTACACTACGTAAATTAATTTAAATTATTTGGAATGTAAAACCTTATTCAAACGTAAAAACACTTTAGAACAAAATGTGTCAAATCAATGAGATGAGGAAAACATGTAGAACTAAAACATTATAATGCAAATGTAAATAAAAGAAGTATATGCAATATATAAAAAAATATTTAATTAAATGAAAATGTTAAATTTAAAAATTAATTAGGCCAGAATAATTTTAAAAACAAAAAATTTACTCTGTACATCATTCTACTAACTGAAATGAATGTTGCATTATTCTCTATCCCAAGGGCAGGTGCTTTGTTTGTTGTTGCCAAGTTTACGAGAATAGCATAAATTAGGTTGGTGAAACTTGTAATTATGGCATGACTAGAAAGTGCAAGTAGCTATTAAATCGAATAAGTAAGCAAATTTTAAAATTTCTGGCTGAAAGTCATGAAACAGAAAAAAGAGTAAATGTTAAAAATCTTCAAGCGAAACAAGCTGTAATTGTAACTTAAGAAAATAAATTGGCTCTGAGTAGTAAAAGCTTAGAAGGCAGAAAAATAACATTAAATTTTTTTATACTTTGTACTACTTACATATATAAATCTTCCAGTCTAAGACATCCAACTTTATTCTCCTTATTAAAGGTTTTGGATACAGCCTTTCTATATTTTATGCTAAAAGATTAAATTTAATGCCTGCCTTTCTGAGATTCTCTCCTAATTCATTTTTAAATTTAACATTTCATTTAATTAAATATTTTTGATACATTACATATACTCCTTTTATTAACATTTGCGTTATAATGTTTTATTTTCACATTTTTACAAGTTTTTCTCATCACATTGATCCGATACTTATATTTTGTTCTATAGTGATTTTGCACTTAAATAAGGTGTTTAATTCCAAATAATTAAAAGTAATTTACATCGTGTAGGGAAATTCTTGATATGAACATGAGTATGCTCAATTTGAGGAATTAAATATTTACATTTAATTTCATTTCTACTTTCGATTTTCATATGCATAGCAAAGACGAAACACAATGTCTGAATGGTTGGGAGTGTGAAATAAGCTAATTACACTTGAAGAGTTGGCATTTTCTCACTATCTTTTCAATTGTTCATTTTTAATTAATCTTCTTTACATGGCTTTAATTCTCATTAACAAATTTTTATCACAATTTTATGCATATCCACTACTATTGGCCATTGCTAGTAAAGTAATTTTTCCATACCAATTTGACTTTTACTAGTTAAGACTTGTAAAAAAAAATTTCTTGCCCTCTTAAAATTAAAAAAAAATTTAACATGACTTAAAAATTATGAATTTGTAAACTGGAATTTATTCAGACTTACTCTTTTACTTGCTTAGCTCTCTTAATTTAATTTGAAATATAAGAATTATATAATTATAAGAAATATATTAATTGTAATTATGTTTAAACTTTATATATACAGTCCAAAGTCTTTAGTCCGGACAACCATAATCCGGACCTCAAAGCTCCAAACTTTCTGCGCATGCGTCAATGCATGCGCATAATATGTTTACACATGCGCGTTTAATGTAGAATGGACGGTATAAGCTAGGCTAAAATTATCTAATTATCTATTTCAGTTAATGTTGCAGATTGCATTGTTCCTTATCTTCTAATTGGATCCGGTTTATTATTTTTTGGACTGTTGGGCAATTTTATAAAGTAAGCTTGAACTTTCGATATGTCAAAAAGTTTCCGATTCTGGAGCTGCCAAGCACTACAAAGTGAAAGCATGTTTCAATGTACCGCTCTGATAGTGAAGAAAGGACAGAGAGTTGATTGAAAACGAAAAATTTAGATTGAAATTATCGGTATTCTCGACACAGCAATTATAGAACTTGAAGAGCGGAACTTTGTAACTGAACAAGAAATTATGTCTGTTTATAATTAAAGAGAATGTATTAGCACAAACAAACTTAAACTTAAACAACACATTGAAAATGTTTAATAAGGGAAACAAATAAATATTAAGCTTTTTTTTTTGTAAATTTTGATACCTTTAGATCATAATTGCTCTTTATTTCATAAATTACGGTTTCATATTTTTAATTTTATAATTTCTTCATGCCATCTTACCAGATTTATACTGATGATCTATAATCCGGAAAAACCAATAATCTGGAATCGCCGAAGTCCTGACAAGTCTGGATTAAAGACTTTTGACTGTATATTACATGTGTGTGTGTGTGATGATATGATCTAGTGTTTCTTGCAGTAATTTGATGAGATGAGTGGACTAGGGAAGGCATTATTTTACAGTCTTGAATGGACTGAGGATTAGATCACTGAAAATATCAATTACATAGCAGAAGATGCGGAGAATTTTTGAAGAATCACAAAAATCACTTAATAATCCAAATATCTCCTTATTACTTGTTGATTAGCCTATGGCAATGTACATCACAATGGGGTCAGTCTTATCCCCATAATTTTGATGTCTCATTACATTTTTAGAAGCAGCTTAGCAACAGACGTCTCCTTAAGCTAGCACGCGTAGGCAGAGAAAGAAAGAGGGTAGTTAGGCTACAATGGTATTTATAGTAAATTTTTTTGTTAATCTGACTGGCTAAAACTTATAGGCAATGCAGAAGTTTAAGGTGACATAATGTGGAATTAGTTTTCATATATGACATAGTTTCGAGAAATTTATTTCTAGAGAGGAAGTACCCAAATTAAAAATGAGCAATTAAGAGGCTTTTTAAGTTATAATTTTGATTTGTATATTTTTTTATCTTTGTAATTTGAAACATGCAGAAATTTTAAAAAAAAAATTTCAAATTAATTATTGCTGATTCCATGCAAAATGGCTCACTTTTGAAGGGGTGTTAGCGGATTTTGATAAAATCGCCAACAATTAATAAAATCATCCACCTGAATCATGATTTGCCTTCCCAGTCTACTTGAATGAAAATTTGTTTTAATACTATCAAATTAATATTTTCACTTAATTAAGTCAATTTGTCAAATTTATTCCCAAGTAGATGATGAAAATACTCTGATGCAATTCTGATTCCTAAGAAAAATACTCTAAAAATGGATTAAATCCCTAAATATATTAGGAAAGAATATGCAAATAATCAAATATAAAAAATATCTGAAAATATAAAACATAACATATTTACAACAATTTTTTTATACTAAAAATTATAAAATTTTGTCCTATGAAATAAAATCACAAAAATAAGGTGAAAAATTCAAATAATTCTTTAAAAATATTTAGCTAACTCCAAAAACTATAACCTTACTTGTGTTAGCCAATTTGTTTGAACAAATTTTTTGGAAGAATAGGCTTTGAACTGTTTAAGACAACATTAATGGCAAGGAAAAATTCTACTTGGCATCTAATTTCCTAATTCTTTATTTGTAGATGAAAATGATGACAAATTTCCAAAAAAGAATATTATTGATTGGAAAAATTCTATTTGTATACAATTTCCTAGTTCCTTATTTATGGATGCAAGCTGGTGAGAAAAAATTGGCAAAAAAGAATATTATTAATTGGACTGCAGACAAGCAATAGTTAAATATTGGGACTGAATTTGGTGGGAAAAAAGTGTTCTCTAAGAATCATGAAGAGTGAAACTGAAAATGGCACACTTTCACAACCGGAGTTAGTTCTAGAACCTTAGAAATGAATATTTTGATATGTGGAACTGCAAAATGAGAAGAAAATGTGTAATTATCAAACTGTATAAAATAACAGCACTGTTTAAAGAATAAATAAACCATACTGGTAATTATTGTATATGTAATGCAAATTCACATTTTTTTTTTTTTTTTTTTTTATCTTACAGTAAATGATAAAAATATACAAGACTATTTTCTACTTTCTCTTTTGAAAACTGTACCTGTTCATAATAAATCTAAAATGCATCATTTCAAAATAAACCCTGCTCACAATGATTCTTATATAACACTCATGACAAACAGACATTTACAAAACGCTTTAGCCAATAATGATTTTAAATTTTGGTACCAAAAACTTTTAGCAGATAATATGTATAAAGCTGAATCAAAATAAAATTATTCTGAACCATGTTTCTAATTGTAGACACATTGTATTCTCTCTTTCAATTTTCTCTCGATAACCTTGCTTGTTCCTTTGTCTTCAGATATCTTGCTTACTTCAAAAATGCAAAAATTCATTAAAGAACAACTAAGATTTTAATGCCAATTTATTAAATCTGTTTCAAAAATATGATGATAAAGATAAAAAAGGAATTAATCAACTGGCCATGACTGCAAGTAACTGTCTTCAACATCTAAACCAGCGGTTCTCAACCTTTTGATTAACGTGTACCATCTAAACAAAAATTGAAAACCTTTAGTACCACTACTACAAAGTACAACTACTACTACCACTCTTGAACTAAGCTCAGATCGCATAAATTTACGAGTGTTAGAGAGAAAACTCAATCAGAATGTTGGGGTTTTAATTTTTGAATTTAATAGTTAAAAATACTTTGCTTCTTTGCATACCACCTATTTTCCTCTTCCGTACCACCGGTTGAGAACCCCTGATCTAAACCATTTCATACTTGACAATTCAAAAATCAGTTAAAATCAGAAGATTTTTGAAAAAAATTCAGAAAGGAAAAAGTGAATTCTACAGAAAAAACTGATATGTATGTGTATTTTGAAACAGCAAAAAAACTATCATCGTAAAACATCATAAATCTGGCAAAGTGGACAAATGAAATTAATTTTAATCTATTTTCAATGTCTTTTCCTCTCTTATTTTCATGCTATTACATAATTCCCAAACTCCGTTTACTATCATTTAAGATATATATTAACTTACTTAAATTTCAGGTTCAAGATATTCAGAAATCACCAAAATGACATATAGATATTAAAGCATGACAGAAGGAAAGTAAAATGTTTTATTTTTACTGTTATTTTTTTAAATATGAAGTTTTAATATAATACCTTAATTTTAATGCTATCTTATTTATTAAAAAAGTCATGAAATTTGCAAACACATAAAGCAATTTTTTTTTAATACAGATTGGTCTTACAATCACAAAATCACGATACCTACCACATTTAGAGAGGAATAGCAAAAGAACTCACATTTCAAAAATGATAAAGCTTTGAATTTGATAAGGTAAAAAGAATAAATTTAAACGGTAGCCTAAATGTTTGCCAAAATTCTGTACTTTAAACACAGATTTAGTAACAAATCAGCAAATTTGCAAAATTTTTGTCCCTTTACAAAAAAACTAGAAAAATTCACAAAAAGGGATTTTTATGTCACAGATTGCAAAACTTGAACAATTTATGACAAAACTGCAAGAATTTGTAAAATTTCATAGGTATGATATATAAATAAAGGATTTAAATTTGCTTATTTAAACTAAAAGGAAGACTTTAATAGACTGATCCTGAGAGTCAATATGGCAATTATAAAATGTAAAAACACAAACATACAGTAAAAATGCATAAATATCTAAACAAATAGTGAAAAAAAAGTTGACTGTAAAATTCAAGTCAAAATGGAATATTTGCATTTAAAATTTCATCACAAAAATTTTACCCCTTTCCCCCCCCAAAAAAAACCATAATTTCCATATGGAAACAGAATTAACAAATGAGGTACAATATGCATTAAAAAATATACTATTTGAATACTAACCATTAGTGTCACCTGGACGTATAACTTCCGAATTTATATCATTACACGAATTACTGACTTCCTCAATGGACAAATGTTCCATTTCTGAATTAAGGGCATTCACTTTATTTTCTAAGAAACGAGGAGAAATATGGCGCATATTCCCCCGTCCTCTTCTACTGTATTCTCCTCTACCAGTTCCTCTGCTTCCTCGAGGTATGGGTTTTCTGCTTCCTCTTTCGTGGCTGCCCCTAAAAGGTGAAGTTTTACCCCGCCTTGGAGGAATATCTCGTTCTAAAGAGTTCCTACCACTTAGATTTGAGTTTTCAAAAGTCAAAGTCCTCACAGATTTATTTTCTGTAATTTCAGTAGAATTGTTTTGTAGATATGTTGTCCTTTCTGGCAATGGTTCAACTGCACACTCAGCTTCTTTAGTGGGCAATGCTGGAAATTCTTTATTATTAATAACAGGAACACTGTCTTTACTCTCAGTATCTGAAATATACAAAGAAACCATCGAATGAATAAACAATAGGGATGCTGTCAACTTTAAACTTCATTCTACTTTAGTTTACTTATGTGGTATAAAAAAATATTTGCATTAGCAACCTTGGTGAGTATCTTCTTCAGCAGTAACATCTTCAACAACTGAAGTACTTTCGTTTTCACTTTTGTTCAAATTCTGTGGATTGTATCTTCCCCGTCCCCTTCCACGAAATCGTGAGGCACCTCTGAAACGGCCTCGAGATCGACGGCCCCTGGAAATCCCTCTTGGAGAACCCTTGAATCTTTCTCTACCATAAGCAGTAACATCTTCCCAATTTCTTTCATACTTTGTAGGTCCTCTCCTGAAATATAGTGGTTTTTAAAAAAAAAGAAAACAGTTTAAAAATCAGTATTAAAAAGCACTCACGACTGTCAATTAAATTTTTAAAAGAACAATTATATGTTTACAAATAGTTTTTAATACATCAGTTCTTGAAATAGTGATACATATTTTAAACACTATTCATTTAAAAATAATAATATTAAAACACAAATGAAGTTCTAGACCTTTTTAAACACCTTGGATGTTTTCAATTGTAAGACAAAACAAAAATAAAATTTTTCTAAAAGTAAGAAATATGTCTCTTACACAAGTTATTTCAATTAAAAAAAAAAAAAAACTAAAGAAATGAATATGCAGGAGTTTTTCATAGCAATACTTACTTGAAATTTAGGGCACTGTTAATACATAAAGAGGGCGAAGGGCAATTGTCGCAAAAGAGGGGACCGTTAAAAATTACATACTGAATTTTTATATAGTAGAATTTACTAAAGTACTCTTTCAAATAATTTAAGCCATTTTTTACTCTCTGTCTCTCTGTTTACTTCTAAAAAGAAAAAACCAATTTATATTTTAGGGAATCGCATTCTAGAATAAGTGTCACAAAATATATATATTATTATATATATATATACATGCACCCAGAAGAAATTGAGCCACAATCATGAAACTCGGCAGGAATGTAGTTTAGTAAGAGATGTGCAAATGATTTAAATTTAGACACAAAGGAGGTAAGGATAAAGTGTGCTATGTGCCTATGAGATGCACAGCTAGGAGAGTTTAAAAGCATGATTGCTCCTGCCATAGGGCTATTCAAATGAATCTGTCAACTTGGATGGATGGTATTGAGATGCCTCCCAGATGTAACTGATGGCAGTACGAACAGTTGTAGGACTTCAAGAAGGGACATACAGTAGACTTCACAGAAGCAAGTTGGTCAAATAGGCATATTGGCCGCTACCTCGACGGAGCAATATGGTAGTTGCTCGATGTTGGCGACAAAGGATTATGGAAGGGATAGTCTACCATAGCAGAAGGTCAGGGAATTCCAGAAACACAAAAGAGCAGCCACTTCTGCACCAACGATGTCCCTAGCATTGATTCAACACCATTTACCACTTTCCAGGCATCCGGTGGTATCAAGGGAAACCATTCGGAGACAAATGGTTGATGTTGGTATATGCTGCCGACATCCATTAAGACGCCTACCACTGATCTCACGCAGTATCCATTATATTTTTGCCAAACTCGAGCAAGGTGAACTGTGACCCACTGGAGGCATGTGATCTTCAATGCTGAATCCCAATTCAGTCTCAATGCTGATGACCAACGCACAAACATGTGGAGGCAGCCGGGCCAGCTGTCCGACTGATT